GGAAGTAACTAAAAATAGACTCCGGTGAGTGAGAGGGCTGGAGCCTGTCTGCCTTGTCAGCTCCTCTAGCCAGCAGTGAATGGAAAACTCAGGGGATGTCTCATCATGTGTAGACATTGCCCCTTAAGCAAATAAATGTAACAGCCAAAGCATGGCTTGGTAGCCTAAGGAATATCGCAAGACACATTTTCGAAGTTGGTAAACCAACTGCTTTGCCTAGGAATGGAAATGAGTATGCTGTGTCTAACAACATGTTTGTAAATCGAACAATAGTCAAAACAGCTTGGGGCTGAGTCCCCCGAATGACCAGGAAGGGTGAGGCCTCCGCGGTGGCCCGGGGTTTGCAGCCGAGGGGCGCGAGCCGTCCGAGCACTGCGGCCAGAACATACCCAGCTCCGCCTCCAAATTTGGGTCTGGGGGATGTAGATCCCGTGTCTGTGGGAAGCTGGGAATCCTAGGGTCCCGGATGGGGGATGCCAGCGCCGATTTGAGGCCTCTGACAAGGTGGCCTCAGTCACAGGGAAAGGGACCTGATATCCCGCTCCGCTTCTCCATGCTCGGGGTTCATCTCCCAAACCTCTGGATTCCGGGAAGCCTTCTCGGGCCTCCGCCCCGCCCCATCTGCGCCCAGGTTTAGTTGACACTAAACCTCATTTTATTTATGTAACTGTAGGATCCTCCCCTCCCATTCCCTCCTACCCCCCCCCCCACCTTTGCTTAAACTTAGACCCCTCGGGGCAGAGGCAAATGGGTCCAAATCGTCCGGAGCTCTCTGACGCCGGCCCGGGCCCACTGGCTCTCGGGAGAGGCGGAAAGGACCACCCGGGAGGGACCCTGGGCGCTGAGGCGGAGGGGCGACTTCTGACATTGGGGGCGGCTGGGCCCACAAGACCCCAGAGCCGGGGAACCAAAGCTCCCCCTCCCCCCCTCACCCCGCACTGCGGGGCTCCCTGCCCGCAGAGTCCAGCTCTGCCCAGGCCAGGGACCTGGGAGGATTCCCCCTGGGCCTCTTGCCTTTCCCCAAATCCAGGCTTGCCAACCACCTGCAAGGGAATAATTGGGAACACTTGTTGGAAGTCCACATCCCCGGATCCAGATCGGAAGCGGGGTGGGGGTGGGGGAGACTGGGAATCTGAATTTTAAGGCAGTGCCTTGGGGATGCTGTACATGCTAGATTTTGGACCCAGGAGGTAAAGCAGAAAAGTGTAAGTGTCCGGTGTGTACCCCCAGCTCTCAGTGTCCGGTGTTCCTGCAAAACTGCGCCCGCGCAAAGGGAACGTGGGGAGATCTTGCTGGGCACTGCTGACTGACAAACCCAGTGTCCCTGGGCCTCTCCAGTTTTCCTGGCAGGTTGGTTTCTAGGCAACATGTCCTCCGCTTCTGTCCAAGAGTGCCTGCAGCTCCAGCTGCTGGAGATGGAAATGCTGTTGTCTATGTTTCCCAACCAAGGAGAAGTGAAGCTGGAAGATGTGAATGCGCTGACGACTATAAAAAGATACCTGGAAGGCACAAGGGAGGCGCTGCCACCAAAAATTGAATTTGTGATTACACTCCAGATTGAGGAGCCCAAGGTAAGTGCCTTGAGTTGTTTTAATTCTCAGGTACCTCGTTTTTATTGGAAACGCTTGGAACATGAGCTTTCAGATTGAAGAAACAAACAAGATATTCCAGGATATTTCCATTCCTTGTTTGAAAGCAAAATACGTAAAATACGAGTGCCCTGTAAATTATCTTCAGTAAACATCCTGAATTTTATATGAACATGTAAACATGCAAACCTTTTAACAAATATACCCAGTATTGTTTTTTTAATTAAAAAACATTTCACTACCATTATTATTCTGCTCAGTCATACAGTTTTTTACCCATCCAACTATTATAGTATGGGTTCTCTTGTACATATGTGATTTTCACAAATACAAATGTGGCCTTTAGCAAAACTGGCTTTTAAGAGGTGAATGGCTGTTTCTTTGGTGGTACTCTAACACAGAAAGCAAACAGATAGAAATCTGAACACTAAAAATGAATTTACCTTCTTCTTCTGACCCACTTATCTCCAGCATTAGCATAGCACAGGTAATAAGTAGACTAGGCACTTGAGAGCCACTCTTCTATTTCCTACTCATCCTTTGTCATTCCCCCAAGGAGATGTCTTGGTTCCCCAGACTGGATTCAGTCCCCCTGTTTACGCATTTCATTGGGTCCTTGTACTCTTCCATGGTAATGTTTCTCACCACTGAAATTCAACACTTGCTATGCATAATTTTTTGTTTAATGTCTGTCTCCTTCACTAGGCTCTAGATTTCACCAGGGTAGAAATGGTGTCTTCGCTTCTTTATTCTACCATAGGGTACCTGGAACATGGTTAGGTGTTTGATAAATACTGGGATAAATGAATGTATAAATGGAAGGAATAGTGTAAAGTACTTAGTACAGTGTCTGGCACACAGATGCCAATAGTAGCAATAACTATTATACTTCATAAAATCATGCAGTTGCTACTGATAAACTAGCTTGGGTGATTTTATGGTACTTAAATCTATTTGATTTCCATTTTAAGGTGAAAATTGATTTGCAAGTAACCATGCCTCACAGCTATCCCTATGTAGCATTGCAGCTGTTTGGACGGTCCTCTGAGCTTGACAGACAACAGCAGCTACTTCTCAACAGAGGTCTCACTTCTTACATAGGGACTTTTGATCCAGGTGAGCTCTGTGTGTGTGCAGCAATCCAGTGGTTACAGGACAACAGTGCCTCCTATTTCCTGAACAGAAAGCTTGTTTATGAACCATCTATACAAGCAAAGCCGGTCAAGAACATATTTCTCCGAATGTGGATCTACAGCCATCACATATATCAGCAGGACCTAAGGAAGAAGATTTTGGATGCTGGGAAAAGGTTAGATGTGACTGGGTTTTGTATGACAGGAAAGCCTGGTATAATCTGTGTGGAAGGCTTCAAAGAGCACTGTGAGGAGTTCTGGCACACGATCAGGTATCCCAATTGGAAACACATTTCCTGTAAGCATGCTGAAAGTATCGAAACCGAAGGAAATGGGGAGGATCTGAGACTCTTCCATTCTTTTGAAGAATTACTCCTTGAGGCCCATGGTGACTACGGATTAAGGAATGACTATCACATGAATCTGGGCCAGTTCTTAGAATTTCTAAGAAAACTCAAAAATGAGCA